GGGTCTTTGTTTTTTTAAACTGTACAGTCTTTGTTCAATATCTATAAAATATTTATAGATTTATCATAAACACTGGGATGTTGATGGACAAGAATACACATTCGATAGCAAGAAAGGAGGAGGACAGGAAAAGTGGCAAGAAAGCCGATTAATAAAGAAATGAAATAGTGAGCTCATGCATCAGATGTGTGACACAATTGTTTTGATTTCATGCAATGGCTCTGCGCCCCCCCTAGGGGGCGGGCCCCACACTTTGGGAAGGTCTGAGTTAACCTAACAGCATGTCTTTGGACAGTGGGAGGAAGAGTGCCAGGCAAGGTGATGGACTGGAACCCAGGACCTTCTTGTTGTAAGGCAATAATGGTAACAACCTTGCCACCATGCAGCCTATGTAGTAGCATAAAAATGACATGTGTAAACCTAATACCTTTTAAGTTATCACTAACAACTGTTATTGAAAAGGTTACAGTTCTAACAAATGTATTATTATTTATACTCAAATCAACAACAGTATATTTTAACTTCAAAGTAAAAGTACTGTAAGTACACTCTTGTATCATTTATCAGGTAATGACAGTGGACTAAGGTGAATTTTATGTACAGTTTGTGAAAAAAAAAAACCCCTTTTAAAACGTATTCTGTGGTTACATGCACTAAAGAAATTATCCTGTCACCACGAGTTTACCACACAATTTATTAAATACACCTTGGACATTTCTGTGTTGGACCCTTTTGTCTCAGTTCTTAAAATGATTTTTAATCTTTTTGGTGAACACATGCAGACTGTAGCCTCTGTTTCCTGTTCTTAGCTGACAGGAAGGGCATACAGTGTAGTCTGCAGCTGTAAGCCATCTGCTTCAAGTTTTGATGTGTTGTGTGTTCAGACATGTGCTTTTGCATATCTTGGTCATAAATGATGGTTATTTAACTAACCAGTCTAGTCAAACTTCTCAAAGTGTGTAGAAAAATATTAGTAGATCATCAGTTTATGAAGTGCTCAGACCAGCCTGTCTGGCACATTTTTGTCTTGGAAATTTATCACGTTTTTTCTTTTTTCCCCCATAATCCACACAATTTCAAGTTTTTGCTTTAAGTGATCCTAATACTGTTGAAATCTCTTATCATACCTATGGGGATTGAGCCTTTCTGGAGCAAATTTCAGCTTAGTCTATATCCTAATTTAACAAATATGAAACTGTCTAAGTGAAGCAGACTACTGTTGAACCGAATCAAACTCAACATTTCCAATATTAGGTTGAACATTTTGGTAGGTGGAAACATTTCATTTATTTATAATCTTTTACTGTAAAAGATTTATACAGTAGGAATACAATGTAAAAAACAAAAAAGTGACAACAAAAGAGAAAGCTCAGAAGAGAGGAGAGTCATTCCTTGTATTTATGTCACTATCATCACATAGAGGTTTTAGTCTTGGGACAACCCACACAGGCTGTGTGCATCACTGCTGAAAATCTTGAATGAGGAAGTTTGCACTTCCTGATTTTCAAAGAAGGTGTGAAGATGGCACGTATTTTATTTTGGGGAGTTCTATTGCTGCTTTCATTTGAAATACAAGGTAAACACTTATTTTTACACTCTGATTAATATTATATTTTTATTAGTATTATTTTGTACACTAATATGTCATAGTGATTCGTCTCCTTTGCTTTTTGGAATCTGGTTTTGTACTATAGCACTAAATTGTTTGTAAAAGACAAACAACAAATGACATATAATAAATAATTGTCAGGGTGGAAGAAAGTCAAATAAATACAGTGAAAAATGAATACCAGGCAAGAAAATCGGTATTGAAATTACAATAATTACATTGCAATAAGAATGCTTTTGACATATTAACAAACGAAAAATCAGACTGAATTTCAACATCGATGTTTCTGAACTATGAATAATGGTAACATGGGGCTGGTAAGTGCTGACTATCTGCTTGATTTCTTTGTGTCATTTTTCAATTATTTTCCCAAATCAATTTGGCTGAAGTTGAATTAAAATGTAGTTTTATCCGGCCCCTTCTTCACCAGAGAGGTGACGTTCCATGTCGCAGGCTAGTCTTGGTAGGGATCAGTCCACTTCTTCTTCAGTAACTCAACAAACCATGTAGTGCAAATAAACAAAATTCCCTTAGATTTTTTTGATAAGCATTGAACCACTGTACTCCACTCAAAACCAGTAGAACACAAATTCACAAAAAGTTTTAAAGTGTCTGATATTAAATCGAAAACTGAAGCAGCCATGTTCACATGTTGTAAAAAGATAATATGTGTCTCTCTGTCACATAGGCACACACACACACACACACCCACACACACACACACACACAGATGTCAGTTGCTGACATCTATCTATTTAAGTCTTTCCTCTTGTCAGTATCACTTCTCTCCCTCTGTCTGTGTTTCCACCCACAACATTCTATCATGCATATGCATTTGTGAGCTAGAACTAGAATAAGCCACTTATTATATAATCATTTTGGAATAATTTGGACATCATTTGGCAGAACCCCTGTTCAACAAGTTTATTTTTAAATGCAATGTTTTCATTACAATTTTGATGAACAAAAGACTGTAAGAGGGAAATTTCCATGAGTGCCAGGTCAGGGTCATGTCACTCTTTTCTGTTTATACTTCCCCATTATAACTGGCTAATGCCCGCTTGTTCCACTTCTTTGGAACTACCGTACTCTCTGTACCCAGCTGAGTTCAGAAGAAATTACTAGCCTTGAGAGCAGGGAGGAAGGGGCCAGTGTAGAGACTGCTGTGTTGTAATCTACCAAATGTATATATTTTTAAATTATTCAAATTATACATTTCATTAAACATATATATTTTTTAATATATATTTCAAAGCCAGAAGTTAAAAGACAATACAATTGTGTCATGATTACCACAATCTGACATCATGGCACAAAGCTTTTTCTTTTTTTAACTGGACGCCAAAAAGAGGACAGTAAGCAGGAAACTGGAGCACCAGACCTGTGAGAACGGATAGCAGAGGGGACCCAGGAAGAGCGGTCAGGGGAGAAAGGCAGGACAGGAGCAGGGGTGACCCAGAGCTTTAAACCCATTTGCAAGTCTTCTCTTTAATGTTCCTATAATTTCCAGTGGTCATGTATTCTCAGATATGCTCTGATGAACTTAACTTCACATTGATAGTTGTATTTATTTACTACCTCTGAAAAAAAGGAAACATTAGCCCAATGCATTTCTGCAGCTTCATTGCTGTGAAATTATGGTAATCATGGCAAGTAGAATCATCTACAA